TATTCTCTTATATTTAAAAAGTATTGACATGATTTTCTTAAAAAATATATAAACATAGTAGCAATAGTATATACTTCAGTTTAACTTAAACATTGGCTTAAAGTTATTTAAGGTGATGCCCTTTCTAAGCTAGAATGATGATGTAGCGATTACATAATCCAAAAGTAAAAGAAGAAATTTCTACAAAGGAAACATAATTTAATATGTTAAATTAACAACTAATTTATAAAATATACATGGGCGGTGCAAATAGTTATACAAAGTAAGGTATATATCTTCATAAAAATTTTATAGTGAGTGACCAACGACAATCATCCTAATTTAAGAATAAATAATTATTATCTTAGTTACTAATTTGATACGCGTAACTATAGAATAACTCTCAAGTAAAAAATAAGAATTAAAATTTTATTAAATTTAAAAAGTAATAATTTAAATTATTAAGTACAAAATATTAGTTCATGTGAGAAAATAAAGTAATCTATGGTCTATATGCCTATATAATTAATCAATCAAACGTATTATAATTATGATGACTACAGTCAAAATTATATGGTTGATTCACATTAAATATAATTTTAAAAAATAGTACATTAGAGTTAAAATCCTTTTAACCACTATATAGATTGTCTAAAAACTTTTGCATATATAAATTACACTGCTTACGAACAGCGATGCGTTGTACACTCTATGGCCTGATAATCTTAAGAAAAACTTACTATTGAATATCATCATTAATTGACGTATCTATGCATTACACTGAAAACACAATAAAAATTTAGAAAACTATAAAAAACACACTATTTTTTTTTTAAATTATAAAAAACGCCCTAAAATTTTGTAATTTGCAAATACACAAAACTATTAAAACAGTACATTGAAATCAAGGAATTATAAAAAATTATTAAAAATTTCAAACTTTGGAGGGATAATTTGCAATGTGCTAAACTTTAAGGGTGTTTTTTTGTAAAATTCAAATTTAATAGATTTTCAATCATTTATGTTCTTTTGAAAAAAGTTATGGGAAATATTGACCATGAAAGATTTTTTCTAAACCTATATTTTTAAAGTGAGTATGATATTTTTTATAAATTTTTAATTTTTTAGGGGTTCCTAGTAATTTTGTATATTCAATTTAGTGTCTATAGGTTAGAAATTCTCATGGGGTTTTTATTATAAATTATGAATTTTAGGGTTTTTTGTAATTTTTTAAACTTATAGGCCTTTTCTACGGATTGTAAATTATTTATAGACTATTTATAAATCCTATACTTTTAATTTACTATTGAGTTTGAAATTCTCAGGGTGTTATTTGTAAAATTTAAATTTTAAGGTTTTGTTTGTAATTTTTAAAACTTCAAGAGTGTTTTCTGTAAATTATAAATTATGTAGGGGATATTTATTATTCCTATATTTTTAATGTACTTTTAGGTTAGAAATTATCCAGATTTTTATAAATTTTATAATTTTAATGGTATTATTTTGCAATTTGTAAAAAGTTCAGAGTGCTTATTGTAATTTTCATAAATTTTTGAGGGTTGTTTGTGTTATTTATAGATTTTTAGTATATAGGTTTGAACTTTTTAAGGTGTTTTTGTAGGCGTCAAAAAATGCTGAGAGACATCCAAACACAGCTCAAAAGGAAGTCATCCAAAATGTCAAAAAAGAACACAAGTATAGACTGTCTCGCACGCGAGACAGTCTTTACGCGGCAGACCAAGGTGCCGCGGCTAAGGCGCGGCAGCCTATGGTGTCGCGGCTTAACCGCTGCAACCTATGGTGCCGCGGCAGTTAAAGCAGGATGCTACAGCAGTTATAATACAGTTATCTGATGATTATTTAAAGTCCACGTGGCGGAGTATCAGAAATAGAACGTGTGCTGATGTGGAAAAGCAGTTAAACCACGAAAAAGGTGGTTAAAGGTCGTGGGAGAACTGTTTCAAACACGTATGAACGTGGGTGTAACTGCCCCTTTAGCCGCGGCAGTGTCGACTGCCGCGCTCTTTGGCCGCGACAGTGTCGACTGTCGCGCCCTTTAGCCGCGACAGCATCAGCTGCCGCGCCTAAAGAGACAGTTATTGACCAGCTATTTCTTCAGTTATCGTCTAAGGAGGCTATAAATACCCCCCTATGGCCATCATTGACAGGGGCTGAGCATTTTCCAGAGAGATTAGAGCAGAGAGCCTTGAGTTTTGGTGAATTAGAGCAAGAGAGAGAGTCTTTCTTCTTCACAAACATCCTCAAGAAGCTTTTGGCCATTCCTAGAGATCTAAGCTCAGACTTGATCTTTGGAAGAGTGAACATCTTACATCGATAAGATATTCGCTTCAAATTCTCACTTCGATAAACGAAGGAAGAATCATTAAACCCCTCACGATTCAATCGGAATCTGTGATTTGGTGGTCCACGAGTCAAAGCGCTCCCGGCACAGGCAAAGATCCCACGCAAGCAGCGATCCAAACAACGATCCTGTGTTTGTTTCTCAAGAGTTGTAATTTTTCATTTTGTTGTGTAAAAGGAGTCTTATAAAAAGGCTATCTCTTTTTTGAATTTATAGTAATCGACCGAAGATATAATGAATTCCATGACAAAGTCAACTTTTGACGCAAACATTTTTTTATAAATTTTAAAATTTTATGGGTTTTTTTTTGTAATTTTAAAAACTTATAAAATATTCTCCAAAGTCAAAAAACTTTTAGTTTCTAGCTAGCATATGTTTTTTAGATTTCTCACTGAATTGAAATAAGTAAAATTTATAATTTTTAAGATGTTTTAATAAAATTTTAAATTTATAGGGGTGTTTTTGTAATTTAAAAACTTGGAGAATATTTTTTACAAAGTCCAAAAATTTTAGTTGCTGTCTAGCATATGTTTTTTAGATTTCTCTGCAAACTGAAATAAGTAAATGATTTTAATTATATCAAATGTATTTATTTTATCTAATAACATGTTAAGTCTCATTATGAATATGATAAATCATTTAGTTACTAATTCAAAGAAGATATAATAATTAGAATAGATTAGGATAACAATGTAATATTTAAAAAAGTTAAGGGTAATATTGACCATAGAAAGATCTTTCGAAACTCGTGCTTTTAAAGGGAGTATAATATAATAAGAGAAGCAGCTCATACTACTTTTCATGGAGATGATATTTCTTTTTTAGAAGACCATTCTCCTTTTACCTGATGATCTCAAAATTAATTTGTTGAACACATGAAGATGGGACCTCCCATTAATCATAGTACGATTTTGCATTGCAAAAATTCATCTGAAACTTCAAAAATTCAAAGTTTCCTTTTTTTCATGAACAAAATGAAAATATTAACTGATAACTAGTAATCATAACCTATCATAATAATCATGAATGATCCTAGTATTAGACATGATAAGAAAGATGCTAATGTATACAAAAGGGAAGCATAGTGAAAAAAATTGATTCAAGAGAAATATTAATATTTAAAACACACCCTTGATAAAAACAAGTGAAAATAACCAGTAATTAATACTTCAGTGATGTGCAAAAACTAAATTTTGTTGCATGTAAAAAATTTGACCTTAAAATGCTCTCAAAGCAAGGGAAAAGGTAGAAGATTAGAGATCAAATCTCTTGCAATTGAAGTTGGATGAGATTGTGCTAAATCAACAAAATGATCACCAAAATTAGCGAATCAGATGAAGCCCTACGTAGCAAAACAAGAATCAACAAGAAAGCCTCTGCCTTTTTCGCAAAATCAGTAAATTCAAAAAGTTACTCAATTTCTTCCCCAAATCGGTGACAGTAACTTCAAAAGTTACTCAATTTCTCCCCCAAATCAGTGTCACACTAACCATTCTAACATTTTTCATCATCTAACCACTAAAATTGATCAAAGATCTACAAAATTTAGGGGGCCAAATGAATTTTCTTTTTCTCTGTGAGCTATGGAGGCATTGAGAGAGAAGAGGGAATATGAGAGGAAAGCGGTGTGGGGGAACGCTAGCGTATTTTTTCTAAGAAGTTGTTGTAGCTGACGAAAGGTGAGCAGACTATAATTTTAATGGGCCATTATTTTATTTCTCATCCATTTCAACCGCTTCAACTCTGAAGTAGGTTTTCTTTAAACTTTGACGTGACACCCTTTTTTTGAGATCAATTTCCATAAGACCCTCAGCCAACCAAACTCAGGAAAAGAAAAAAAAAATGAGCGAAATCAAAATATGACATGGAGAGGTTCTAAAAGCTCCCTCTTCCATGTTTTTTCATAAACAAAAGGGCCCTAAGCAAAAGACAACATGCATTAGCGGGTCCACTCAAGTCCATCGGGAGTGCCCATGAGTAGGGGTGGAAATGAACCAAATAATTAACAAATAGTTCGATAATTGTTCGAATAACTATTCGGTCATATTCGATTCGGTAGTTCATTTACCGCTAAACAAATATTTTTTAGTATTCGAGTTTACTAACGAATAGAATTTAACCAGATGCATATCCGATTCGTTTGTTTATTAAATATTCGTTTAAAATTTGATCGCAACTAATTATTTGTATTATTGCACATATGATGTTATATTTTTAACCCATTTACCATTTCTACTTAAGTTTTATACATTGATTTTAAGATTCAAATAATCTTAAATCTATTTTCTAATTAAAATCTTGATTTAAATATATATACATCATATATTATAAAGGAATAATTTTTATTTATGAATTTTAATACTATTTGAAAATCAAATTCTTTAGCAGAATAAATATACTTTGATATTCGATAAGTATTCGTGAATATTCATGAATATTTATCAAATACCAAGTATTCGAGTTCGAATTCGAAAAACTAGATATATGAATATTAGAGTATGCATTCGAATTCGATAATTTTAAACAAATACAAATACGAACACTTTAGTATTCGATTCGATTCGATCATTTACCACCCCTACCCATGAGTATCTGCCAAATGTGAAAGCCAGTGGGAACAGTTAACCTGGGTTTATTATTATATAATTTTATGGGTCCTTACGACAACAAATAATATAATATACACGGCCCAAATCACACCCGAAATCCATGGCAATATCCTCTCTCCCGCCTCTCTTCTCCTCCAAACTCCCCTCGCCAAACCCTAACCCTAACCCTAACCCTAGAACCCCTCCCCAGTTTATACCCTCGGCCACTCGATCCCCCACCTCCACCGATTCCCTTCGCGCCAAATCCCACCTCCTAACCCTAATCTCCGACCAAGACCGCGGCGTCAAGACTCAACGAAATCCCTCGAAGCGATCCGAGATCATCGACGCCATCGACGAGCTCGCAGTCTACGGCAAGGACGCGATAACGACAGACTCGTCGCTGACTGGAACATGGAGGATGCTGTGGACCACGGAGAAGGAGCAGCTGTTTATAATCGAGAAAGCTTTCGTCTTTGGGACGGAGACTGGAGATGTTCTTCAGGTGATTGATGTTGAGAAGGGGGTTTTGAATAATGTGATCACGTTTCCACCGGTTGGGGTTTTCTTTGTTCGGTCTTCGATTGAGCCCGTGCCGCCTCAGAGAGTGAATTTTAGGTGAAAAGTTGGTATTTTTGCCCTAATTTTTGGTGATTTTTGTTGTTGTGTGGTTTAATTGATTTTTATTGTTGTGGTGTAGGTTTACTAGTGCTGTGCTGAGAGGAGAGAATTGGGAGATACCTCTGCCGCCATTTGGTCAAGGATGGTGAGTTTTGATTCTCAGCTATTCTTTTTTTAATTATAAATAATAAATTTCCAAATTGTGCTTGTTGGAAGGTTTTTTCTATAATTTTTAGTAGTAAAAACTTTAGAGCCATGTGTTTCATCAAGTACAATTTTGTAAAAGATTGAAAATAAGAGAAAGAAGAAGAGAAGAACATCCTCTGTATGAAGCATTGTAGCACAGACAATTGTTTCATGGTGTCGTGCCATGTTATGTATGTATTTTTGAGAATTTGTGATGTCAGCATGTCATATTCGTGCAATGAAGCTAGTGAGCCTACCTTCCTCATATGTTAAATGAAAACATACGTTCATTCTAATTCCACGTTAATATGATTCGTTAAAGGCTGTCCAACTCCATAATTAGCCAAAAATAGTTGCTGATATGCCTCACTTCCATTGTCTCTGGAATATCACTGTCCATCTCTCATGGAGCATGTGGATCAAATTGTGTTGCCTACTCTTGGTTCTTGTAAACAGTGAGTGTGGCTTTGGCCTTTTCTTGGATTGTACTCAGAAATGAGTCCAGGCTGAGTAACTATATAGGACAATATGTAACTTAAGGTACACGTGGTTCTTTTTAATATTTAATAAGCTTTGATTATTACATTGTTGCCAGTAGCCCATCATGTGGTATCAGCTGGAAGATAGTAGTTCCTTTTGTGTATTGGAGCTATCCTTTCATCTCACCTTTGGTCCATAGAGATAGAGATACGACCAACATGATTATTTATCGATTGGAAGACTTTATTGTCTTTCAATTATAGCTCTTGAAGAGGATTGTCAGACACCTTAGTCCTTACTACTAATTTCATTTGCGGGAAAAATAGTTCCTGCTGCTTCTTTCTAATAAAAGTATCTCCCATCAGTATGTTGTTTCTAAATCTTAGCCAAACTATTTTGTATCCATCATATGCTAGTCATTTTCTTTCCAAATCCACTTCACTTGTTTGTATTTAGGTTCTTCTAGCGGTTTCTAGTCGTTGAGGAAGTTCCATATGGCAATTCTTCACTGTCCATCCTTTCTAAACTAATAGTTCTACTTCTACCAAGTCCTGAATAATGAATTTTGGCACGTGCTTGCAGACTGTACCAGAAGGCAAACATATTTATTTAACTTGCAGAGGCGTATGGAGAATGTAAATAGCATATCACGAAATGTTGAGGTTAAACGGTTTGAATCCAATCAAGCATTAAAAGAGGAATATGACATGAGTAAAGGGTCTTGTCAATCCCATATGGAATCGAATTAACTCTGATGAGTGGTTAAATATTTAGGTCTGGGGTTCGGAGAGGGATTCACCTTTGGGTCTTATGAATTCTAAGACTATCATGCACACCATCTGCTTAAATGAGCCCATTGCATATCATACTTAACCAGAGTCTGAGATTGATAAAAAGAAGTATTCAGGAAAAGTACATCTGTGGATAAGATAATCTGACTTATGTAAAGCAGCTGTTAAAGCAGCATACTTTCTTTTACTTGCTTTTCATTCTTTCTCGATAGATTTTTATCACTAGGCAGTTGGCTCTTTCACTGTTTTATATCATAAGCAAAAAAATCTTGCTTCACCTTTCTCCATTGACTCAAAAGTTCTGGGGCGAATTACACAGATTTGTCTTCCTTTAAATATGTAATACTTTGAGTTTGTGGTCCTTATATACGATCTTCTTCTAGAATTTTGTGTGCTTGTTTCTTTCAATGTGCAAGAGTTCACTACGCTGGCCTTGATCATGCCTGTAGGTTTGAGTCTGTGTATTTAGATGATGACATACGTGTCGCAAAGGACATTCGAGGGGATTACTTGGTCGTTGATCGAGCTCCTTATTCTTGGAAAGAATGAAAAGAAGAAGGTAATATTTCTCTCATTGCACTTTCTGCAAGTTGTTTGTATGAGTTGTTTGTATAATCTACTTGCTCATCACTTTCTATATTCATCACTATGTTCATCTCTGTTACTAGATTTATAATCAACTGCGCTTGTGACACTGTTATTGGAGCAGCAAAAGGCTGTAAAGCATGTACTCGAGGGTGTTGTGACATGTTGTATATCTGTGTTACACGGATACTTCAATGTGAATGACATCCATCTCCATTGCATATCCGATGCTTGGATATTTGGATACTTGAGGGATACTTATTGTTCTGCGATGTATCCTAAAGAAGTTATAATGTATTTTGAACATAGCAAAGATGTACAGATATGTATCTGAGTTTAAGAAGTTAAAAAATATAGTCAATTTCATTGAACTTGTAAATGCATAATGTACTCTGTCCAGGTTCAACTAAGAACCACTGCTTACATCATAGTTATTGATTTATTTACTTTGGAGATCTGTTTGATTTCTTGAACTCTTGTCTTTCTTTAACTATTGCTGACTTACAGCTTATGTTATAGATGAATAACATTAATTCACACAAAAATGTGGTCTTAATTCTTATAATATCTATGATGGATACATATCATTGATACATACCAATGCGGTATTGCATCTGTATCTCCTACCTGTAGCAGTGCAATTTTGGTCGTATGTTTGCAAAGTAGAGGGCCTATCAGGTTGCTGACACAATCATTTCTAATAAACTTTGATAACCAATACACATAATAATTGTATGAGCTTCTCGTCAGTGCATTAATGTGACTGGCATCAATTTTTGTTAACTAACAAATAGACCAATCAAATACATAATAACCGTGTTCTCAGAAAACATCTCTATGTTGGTTTATAAAAATCAAAATGGATGAGTCTTTTCCAGAATTGTTTGATGGAAAGCTTTAAAGCAAAGTTGATTATCCACTATCAGAAAATTAATTATTTTTCAATACTATTTCATACCCTTTAACAAGTCTATTTTTCTGAATCCTCTCTATTCTCGCAGTTTCCTTTCTAATTGACTTTTTTTTATTGATTTTGTGGGAAATAATAAATCTTGATATCTGTAAGCTGTAACCAAATGTGACTTCCTTAGGCGATATTCTTCTCTATTTCGGAACTTCACGCATCTTGCATATGGCAACTTAGGCACTAGGCAGTCAGTAATCTAGTAACATCTACATGCAGCTGTTGCAATGGGAGTGGTAGGACATCATACACATGCATGTAAGGGTTTTATATAATCAGTGCATATTATAATAAACTTAGGGACAGAGATTCTCCTCTCCTTCTATCTTCTTCCAATCCTCTCCAACCTTAACTCTATTATTCGCGTTGTATCGATAATGGTTGTCCTCCTTAATTATCCTAATCTCCACTTCCACATCATCTTCCTCTCCAACCTTAATGAGCCTTGTTGGACTCCTTGCCAACCTGATCTAACTTCATTAGTGCCGAGTCAACATCATTGCGATAATCAAAGCTCGATTTGACCTTGTTGGAGCACCACCATTGGTCAGTTCATCTGTCCGTTTGTTATGATCGTTACTGACACCTATTTTCGTGAACACGAGACTCAATGTAGCTTGTTTAATCTTGCCTTGCCAGTAGTTGTGCATCTTTCCTCTTGAATCTGACTCACTTGCTGTGATGGGACCTCGAGGTAGCACATCACTACCGGAATCAAATGGGAGAAAATTAAGCAGTTACGATGCAGTATCTGCATAGAGATGCATGTCAGGCACAAAAATAATTAGGAGTACTTTAACCACTTGGCTGGGGAGAGAAATAGAAATGATTGTTATGGTTTTATTACCATTTTAACCTTCCATGTTCTAGCTTGCTTCAGGAAAGAAAAGAATAAGATGAATGTTTTGTCATAAAACAATGGAGGGAAGGTTATTTACGGAAAGGTGTGAATCGTAGCTATGAATACAAGTATACAACGTACAGGAAAGGAATGTCTTCTTCAGGGTAGAAAGATCAAACAGCTCCCCTTAGAATGCAAAGTAGTGCAATTTACTTCCTCCTCATCTCTACTGGTCTTTTCAATGTAATTGATATGGATTTTTGACTCCTTTCGATTTCATGAGATTTCTATTATGTACCTAGGCCTGTAGAGCAAGGCACACATTATGGTTTCTCTTGACAAGTGCATCACTAGGAGTTCGACTGTAATAACATGTATTGATCACTTGACATTGCCCTTAAAAGCGCTAAATGGATGGAGGATTTTTTCATTTAGTGACTCTTGAAGATGTGCGTAAGTGTTTAGTTTTGTAACTAGGTCGAAGCCATTAACTTCCTGTTTTGTTTTTTTTTTTAAATTACTGTAGCCATGGTCATACCTCTGACTTTGGTACTGAATAAGAACTCAATAATGGAAACCTGTTAGATTCTAGTCAGCTAAAATTGCCATACCCAACTTTGAGAAAGATGAATTATTAGCACCTAATGATTCATCATTTATGCACATATACAAGTGGTCTCGTCTTTCATCTAAGTGAAGAATTATTAACCTATCATTTGATGGGGTTAAACACTTTCCATCAACAATGATATTTAACTCACTTTTAGTCAAAATATTTCGTAGCAGTGTTGGTTGAATCCCCTTGGCTAGTTTGGTAACCATGTAACAAAAAAAAAAATGGCCCTTTACTTGGAGAATCCTGAATGGATGCCCAGTATATGGGCTCGCATCCATCCCCATCATTAGCTTTGATCTCAGCACGTGCTGTGGAAATTAGGGGTGCTAAACCGTATCCGTATCCGAGAAAATATCCGTAACTGTATCCGTTAGGATACGAATATGGTTACTCAAATCTATAACCGATAGGATATGGTTATGGATATGGTTTTGTAGTGAAATATCCGTATCCGTATCCGAAATATCCGAATACATATTAGTCATACTCTTACGATAGTTTCGATTCTTAGATTATGGATTTGTGGTTAATTTTGATGATCAAGATGACTAATCTTAACTATTTAGTTATAATGGACATATTAACGAACTTTTTTGTATCACATGAACTATGTTTTTCTCAATACTATCCAGTTTTCTCATATCTGTTTTGTATCTGCATGCATATCCGCTTATATATCCGCATGTATATCCGTAACCGTATCCGATTTTAGCGGATATGGTTATAAGTTTTTCTTACCGAGGTATATCCGTATCCGTATCCGTATCCGAGATGGGTAAGCGGATATGGTAAGCGGATATGGATATGATAAGCATCATATCCGAGCTGTATCCGGACCGAATGCACCCCTACATGTCAGTTGTCCTATAGAACAGTCCTATTTTTGAGCTCGTAGAACTGTACTGTTTTTTGGCTCTATAGAACAGCCCTATTTTTGAGCTCATAGAACTCTACTATTTTTTGGCCCTCCTAACAGGACTCTTACCCATTTTACATGAGAGAGAACATAGATTCTCACTTGGTGCACCACATGTGCAAGCACGAGAATAATACTTAAGACAAAGCGGATTTCAAGTAGTTATTTGGGTTTATAAGTACATATAGAATAAGTTGGATTCAAAGGTAAATCATGGTAAACCTTTTGGTTAAAAAAAACATGTCCCAGTGTCGAAGACTAATGGTTCTTAAAAAGATCATAAAACAGGGACTCCTTTGTTGAACAGTCTTCCTGTAGTTTACCGTAATTAAAAAGATTTCACTTCAACAGACATAGGCAAAAAAAAAAAAAAAATACAATACATGAGTTATTATATTGTAATGGTCAAGGATCATTTATAAAAAAAACACCACCAAGCAAATCCTAGAAAATAAATATATAAAACCCCAGGGTCGTATCAATACAAGACTTAGTATTTGATGGTATGGAAGCACGCTAAATACTCCCAAATCCTGGAGGTCCGAGAGATTCAACCACATCCCTCATATCAACCAACTCGGGCCCCTTCATCACTGATCTGTGACCCATTAGTTCGTTCTCTCGATCAACTTCTTGTATATCCTTTTCAAGTTTGCCGAGGAACATCTCCACAATTTCCTTTCCACTCTTCCCAATCATCATGTCCATTGCAGCCTGGCCAACCAAATCCCTCAGCCCGGTGACCCACAAATGGCGTGCAGCCTGGCATAATCAAAAGCAAATACTATTTAATTAGGATAAGAATTATATGCGCATGACAAGACAAAAACTTATTGCATGTAGATCAACAAGGTATCAAGATCGAGAATTCAGTCTAAAAACGTTCCAAGAAATATTCTTAATCAAGTGCCATTGGCCGGAGAAACATACAAGGACGGGAAGATCTCATATTTTTCTACTTCTACAGTTTACCAAAATTTAATCAGTTCTCAAGAAAGCTATTCATAAGACGTCACCTTCTGAGCTTTTATCTTTCCAGATTTTGCATATAAGGTATACAAACATGCTCTTATGAAAATTTTATTCAAAGTGCTAGCCATCTCTCACGCTGACACCAAATCTCGATATTGGTCATGACTCATGGATGAACTTCCTAATCATATTGAAGCTGCAGCCTGTTCTAGATAACTAAAAATGGTGTTTTAACAGAGATGGGAGTACGGGAATTCTATAGTAGAAAGGTGGAGGAAATTTTTGGAGATAAATGATTAAAAGATTTCAAATCAAAAGGATCTAGAATTAACCCTAACAAACAAGGAGTACAGGGATACAACTTCAACAAAACCGAGTGAAAACACAAGTGATGTAATGAAAATATTGGCATCAAGGAAAGAAAGAGAAATTAATTTGCAAGAAAGCATGTGAGATCAATTACTCGTCCATCATTGAGAGAGAGAGAGAGAGAGAGAGAGAGAGAGAGAGAGAGAGAGAGAGAAGAGGAGGAGGAATTACCCGTTTATTTTTGACAGGTTTGACCATTAAAAGCTCCCAAATCATGGATCTACAAGGAAGATATCGCCGGCATCTTTATTATTACTATTTTTTTCAGTGTTTCCCATCATGTAGAAAGTTCTGTAGCAGTGTATAACATAGAACTACAGCAGCAAAACAATTTAAGCCGCTAATATTGGGATACTAGAATTGCCTACCAACTTTACGATCTATAGGCTGATGCAAAGTGGATAATCTCCTCGAGGTGAGGAGCGGAGATGTAGATCGTGGGTTGACCGAACTCCCTGATCAATTTCGTGTGTTTGCGTTTGACTTTGGTGGATTATTCTTGTGCATATTTTATATCACCTATTGTCTTCTTGTTTATTGTCTATTATCTCATTCCTTGCTTGTAATATCTTGTATATTATAATTTCTAGATAATTAGTTAATAAGATTTAATTTGGCATCAATATCATATTAGATTAGCAATAACCCTATTCACCCTCACTCTAGGGTTATTATCAATTGGTATCAGAGCTTGGTGTTCTTGATTTGTGTCTTAACCGCCTAGAGTCAAAGGTCCAAGCTATTTTACATTGCTAATCTTGTTTTGTGATTGTTCATCTTGCTTGCATATATTTATTATGGATATGCACGGTGCTCCTAGTTTAGGTTATTGCAAAACCCCATAAATTTGAGAATATTATGAAAAATAATATTAAATGAGTATTTATTATGATAAATATCATTTATTAATGAATGAACATGGTAGTAATCGATTTGAGATTGATTAAGTCATATATGTGAATATAGTAGAGAAAACATGAACATGTGCACAAGTATCAGTCGACAAAATACACTCTGGTCAGTCGACCGATGGCAAGCCATCAGTCCACCGATAGGGACCCATCAGTCGACTGATGGCAAGCTATCAGTCGACGGACGAGCGCTAGTTTTCTGTGCAGGTTTTGTTTTCGGGTCTGTATTGTTTTGGTTTAGTCCCGGTTGTATATATAAGTATATATACTCGTTTTAAACCTCTTTCCTTCATCTTTCACGTGATTTATCAGCAGTCACCTTCCTCCTCAAAATCCTAACCCTAAATTGTGATTTCAGGAGAGTTTCATGAGGCGAATACTGAGAGGAGGGCGAGATCCTTGACTTTGGTGAAGGAGGATCATGCTCGTGAGTGTTTGGGAGTTTGAGCACGATGTTTGAGGCAAGACCATCTTTCTCCAAACCTCTCTTTTAGATTGTTTGGTTTGAGTATGTATTTTGATTTATCTTGGTATGAACACTTAGCTTGTCCTTAATGAGATCATTGAAAACACTCTTATGATGATATTTACTTGTTTGAGCTTATGGATGTTCTATGTGCGGCGACGTCGGGTTCCCTGACAAGCTCTTCCAATGCATAAGATGCATCTCTCGCTTCCAGCATTCGTACATGCATCTTTTCCTTCTCCTCGCTAGCTAGCTAGCTGTTAACATATATATATATATATAATGATCACATCTTTTTCTTAGGTAGAATAATTAATTTCTTGCTCTTACTGGTTCTGATATACGTAACTCGCCAATTCTCAGGTACTGCAGTAATTACTACCAGGAGGAGCCTTCAGGGGTTCTATGTGCGGCGACGTCGGGTTCCCTGACAAGCTCTTCCAATGCATAAGATGCATCTCTCGCTTCCAGCATTCGTACATGCATCTTTTCCTTCTCCTCGCTAGCTAGCTAGCTGTTAACATATATATATATATATAATGATCACATCTTTTTCTTAGGTAGAATAATTAATTTCTTGCTCTTACTGGTTCTGATATACGTAACTCGCCAATTCTCAGGTACTGCAGTAATTACTACCAGGAGGAGCCTTCAGGGACTGCTGATGGAATTTGCGACTGGTGCTTGAGCGAGGATCGAAGGCCCTCCTCCAAGAAGAATTCAGGATACCCCAGCGCGGACCATAAGGGCAAGCGGGGCAGCGATCAAAGGGAGAGCGCGGCACGGGGCAAGAGCTCAGGCGGTTCATCCTCCTCCGCGAAGCCCTCGGGCCGAAGGTACAAGCTGCTCAAGGACGTCTTGTGTTAGAGTATGTGGAACGCTAATCAGTTCATGTGAATATATTCTGTAATAATATGTTACCCGACTAAGATGGATAGAGTGTACTGTTGTAAGATATTAATATATTGTATAATATTATAGTTTACTTCACACTGTACAAATGGCCGTGGATGGGTCTTGTTCTATGTTTGCCTTGGATCGATGGGGAGCATAAATTTTTATGATTTTGTATATATATATACTGTTTGGAGTTAGTCTCTGGCATCAAAATATTCTGTGGAACGAGGAAGAGCCTTGACATTGTTAGGTGTTCCTCTATCTATTTTTTAATTAATTTTCAAAGGTATCTGCATTTCAGAAGTCTTTTCCGTTTGGAAAACTCCTCAGGGACCCCAAAATAGGGGACCCCTGAGGGGACAGGTGAGGTGTCAGCTCCTGGGGGGCTGACACCTCACCTGATCCCTATTTGAGGTCCCTGTAGCACTACTCTTTCCGTTTAAGAGTAAGCTCTTTCACTGTAATTTTCCATTGGCAAGTAAGTTCATACTCATCAAATTAATCTTATCGAGTTATCTCATCAAGTGAACTAATGAGATGAAAGAGTGAAAAAAGAAAAATGTGATGAGACCCCTAGTGTACTGAGGAGGAACGAAAGGAGTAAACCCCCCACCCACCCACCCCACCCCACCCAA